GGCTACGCGGAGTATCACGAGATGCAGGAGATGTTGAGCTACCTTGAGCGTGACCCGGCCGTCGTCTACTCCGTGGAGTACTCTGCGGAGGACTCCGCCGTGGACCCCGCCGCTTTTGACGCCATGGCGGACACACATCCGCAGGTGGTGATTGTGTGGGGCACGCCCGGACTGCAGACGTATGAGTTTGCGCGAGCGCTCATGCTGGACCCGCGTACGTCATCGGCAGCCATCATGGGCTGCTTTGGCCTACAGAAGACGCTGCACGAAGCCTATACCAGCGTAACCGCTGGAAACGTCCCCACGAAGCACGACTACCAGATCTTCACCAGTGCCACCTCGCGCTCACCGACGGACTACAACACCAATATCACCCACATGGCTCTCTTTCAAAAGGAAATGACCAACTACATCGTGCGCTCTCGTCAGAGTTTCTACAGGCTGCTGAACGGTTCGAGCTCCTCGGACGCACTGAGCAGCTCCGCGGATCTGCTGCGCGCGGCCAAAGCCTTCTTTGCTGGTGATGCCGTTCCCGATCAGCTGATGGTTGCGGGGTGGATGGCTGGCAAGGTGATCCAGCGCACGCTTGAACGGGTCGACTGGATTGCGGACCGTGCCACCTACCAGACCGGGCTGTTTGACCAGAACCGCTTCGTCATCGGAGGCGACGCCGTCTTCGGCGACTACGGCGGCACCTGCGATCCCTTTGCAGCTAAGATGGGTGCGATGTGCAACTGCAACCAGGGCGGCCACGCCGCCTTGCTCGCACGTCTCGTCAACGAGTCTGTCTGGACTGTCTTGGAGGACACCGTCTTCACCTACTCGCAGGCGTTGTGCTATTCCGCGGATGTTGAGCTGCCCAAACCGCTGAGTGTGGTGACTTTTGCCTTGACCGATCACGGGGAGGTTGTGGACCCTGGGGGCCGTATCAGCACCATCGTCCCCCTAACAGCGGAATTCCTGAACACGACGGAGATCTCGCTGAATATGGCCGTCTTGAATGCTTCGACAACGACGCAGCAGGCGGTGCTGGATACGGAGGTGAGCGAGCACACCGTGGACGTGCTGATGGGCCCAGTGGCGGACGATCTTGACGTCGGCGATTTGCTCGTCGTCGCGGCTGTCTTCGCGAACGGGCACCGGACTACTTCGAGGAGGAGCTTTATTGGCTTGATGCCGAACACGGCGCAGGAGATATACATACTGTACTCCAATCTTCCCACCATCGCTGCGGTGACGGGTGTGGCGGCGGAGCTGCACGTTGTGCTGCACGGCTATGACGCCGAGGTCGCGTCGCAGTTGGCGGATGTGCTGAGCAAGACCGCCGACACGTTTGGCTACAGCGACCCGACCATCACCAGCGTGGCGATGGACGATGACGCGACCAGCGCCTTTTCCACCACCGCCGTTAACTTCTTCGCCGGCTTCACCGACGACGATCCATCGACCATCGCGGCTTTCCTCGCCAACAACCCGTCCGCGATCATCGTTTATGACATCAAGTATTTCAGCCGTTGGTATGCTTCGGTCTTGTCTCCTTTTT